TAGTCTCTAGCATTTTAACTATAGTAAGTCTTGATTGCATTAAAATTTAAAATAGCTACCTTCCCTTAACAATTCCTTTCATTATTTACAGAATGTTAATTTGAATTAATTTGCAAACAGTAAATTTTCTTACAATATTAAATTTTTCATTATGCTGCTAATTTTAATTCATCTACACTACGTTACAAAAGTAAAATACAAATAATATGCAAATTTCCATTTAAAAGCTAGAAAATGAAACATTGAACAAAATATCTACATTTAGTGCTCATGTTGTTGCTGTTATTTTAGCTCCTGCTATTTGTTTGTTAAAATTGAATTTTCCAAACAAATTGCCACTTTGTGTTGGCATTAACAATTCTTAGAATAACTTGTTCCCTGTTAACAACAATATACTAACAACAACAATAGCAGCAGGAACAGAAAAAAATGAATAACAAATAAAATATAGTAAAAACTTTAAGTTAACAACAAAAATAAAACATAAAGCAATTACAACTATTCTCCTGATAGTCAAAACATTCAATGTTTTCTATGCACCACATAGATACTTACTTACTAACACTCATACTTGTGCACACTAACAAATAGTCTTGTAAAAAAATACTATAGTTAAAAAACTACAACATTTATTTAGTCGTTTTATGCATTCATTCATTCTCTACAGTTTCCATATTCAGTCATAGTTCTATTATCTTTATTATTGTTGTTGCAAAATATTGCAATTGTAAGTGGTAGTAGTTGTTGTCCTTGTTATTATTGCTATTGCTGTTGCTGTTGTTGTCTAGCATAGTTGTAGTGTTGCAGTAGATTGCATAAGTAATAGTTAAGATTCAATGGTCTTGTAAATAACTATGCTTATTTTCATGAATTTAAGGAAAGGGAGGGAAGTACAGTTAGAAACAGTTTTCAATCCTAGTTGTATTTTTCTTAAAATTTGTTGTTACTTATATTTCCATTTACTTATTTACTTGCAACTTTTGCTTAACAATGGAAATTATTCAATTTCCTATTATTGTATTGTGTCACTTTTATAAAGGAAGTAAATCTAGCTGAGGAGCCGAAATTTCTTGGAATTTCTTGCACAACTTTTTACCACACAAGCTTTCCTGAAATATACAAACTATACATCATTCATAGTTCAAGCATCAACTAAAGGTTCCACAAAGATTTCCTCCTTCTTTAATAACATACATTTCTTTGATTTTTTTCCAGCTTATCAATAGCTTTGGCATTTTATTTATAATTTAATTTCCAATTTCTATTTGTTTTAGTCCTTTGCTTTCATATGTATTTATTTTAAAATCCTTTACAAAAACACTTTAAGCTTCATTTCATTTTACCCCTCTTTTTTTACCGTATAATTATAAATTTTTTAATTGTTTTCAATTGCATTTAAAATTTTATAAAACTCATTTTCGTTTCAATTATAACAAAACAGTCATGGTTGTTGAAAATACTCTACACTCAGACTTTGACCATTCTCACCCTACCAAACACTTTGGTACTAATCGAAAATTTTCTACAAATGATTGATTTTAATTGTTTATTTTACGCCTTTACCCAGAGAGTATCAAATGTTGATGTACAAACGTGTATTAGGGAGGCGCCTAAAAGCTCGCTACTAAACAACAACTATAGACTAGACTATAGACTAGACTATAGACTAGACTATAGACTAGACTATAGACTAGACTATAGACTAGACTATAGACTAGCCTATAGACTAGACTATAGACTAGACTATAGACTAGACTATAGACTAGACTATAGACTAGACTATAGACTAGACTATAGACTAGACTATAGACTAGACTATAGACTAGACTATAGTCTAGACTACAGACTAGACTATAGACTAGACTATAGACTAGACTATAGACTAGACTATAGACTAGACTATAGACTAGACTATAGACTAGACTATAGACTAGACTATAGACTAGACTATAGACTAGACTATAGACTAGACTATAGACTAGACTATAGACTAGACTATAGACTAGACTATAGACTAGACTATAGACTAGACTATAGACTAGACTATAGACTAGACTATAGACTAGACTATAGACTAGACTATAGACTAGACTATAGACTAGACTATAGACTAGACTATAGACTAGACTATAGACTAGACTATAGACTAGACTATAGACTAGACTATAGACTAGACTATAGACTAGACTATAGACTAGACTATAGACTAGACTATAGACTAGACTATAGACTAGACTATAGACTAGACTATAGACTAGACTATAGACTAGACTATAGACTAGACTATAGACTAGACTATAGACTAGACTATAGACTAGACTATAGACTAGACTATAGACTAGACTATAGACTAGACTATAGACTAGACTATAGACTAGACTATAGACTAGACTATAGACTAGACTATAGACTAGACTATAGACTAGACTATAGACTAGACTATAGACTAGACTATAGACTAGACTATAGACTAGACTATAGACTAGACTATAGACTAGACTATAGACTAGACTATAGACTAGACTATAGACTAGACTATAGACTAGACTATAGACTAGACTATAGACTAGACTATAGACTAGACTATAGACTAGACTATAGACTAGACTATAGACTAGACTATAGACTAGACTATAGACTAGACTATAGACTAGACTATACTAGACTATAGACTAGACTATAGACTAGACTATACTAGACTATAGACTAGACTATAGACTAGACTATAGACTAGACTATAGACTAGACTATAGACTAGACTATAGACTAGACTATAGACTAGACTATAGACTAGACTATAGACTAGACTATAGACTAGACTATAGACTAGACTATAGACTAGACTAGACTAGACTAGACTATAGACTAGACTATAGACTAGACTATAGACTAGACTATAGACTAGACTATAGACTAGACTATAGACTAGACTATAGACTAGACTAGACTAGACTATAGACTAGACTATAGACTAGACTATAGACTAGACTATAGACTAGACTATAGACTAGACTATAGACTAGACTATAGACTAGACTATAGACTAGACTATAGACTAGACTATAGACTAGACTATAGACTAGACTATAGACTAGACTATAGACTAGACTATAGACTAGACTATAGACTAGACTATAGACTAGACTATAGACTAGACTATGACTAGACTATAGACTAGACTATAGACTAGACTATAGACTAGACTATAGACTAGACTATAGACTAGACTATAGACTAGACTATAGACTAGACTATAGACTAGACTATAGACTAGACTATAGACTAGACTATAGACTAGACTATAGACTAGACTATAGACTAGACTATAGACTAGACTATAGACTAGACTATAGACTAGACTATAGACTAGACTATAGACTAGACTATAGACTAGACTATAGAACTAGACTATAGACTAGACTATAGACTAGACTATAGAACTAGACTAGACTAGACTACAGACTAGACTATAGACTAGACTACAGACTAGACTATAGACTAGACTATAGACTAGACTATAGACTAGACTATAGACTAGACTATAGACTAGACTATAGACTAGACTATAGACTAGACTATAGACTAGACTATAGACTAGACTATAGTTTAGACTATAGACAAGACTATGGACTAGACTATAGACTAGACTATAGACTAAACTATAGGCTGGACTATAGGCTACACTATAGACTAGATTATACTAAACCAGACTATAGTATAGACTATTGACTATACAATTGCTAAGAATATACTAGAACAGACTACAGATCACATTAGATGCTCAACTAGACTTTCAATTAGACGCTAGTATTTATATGGACCTTGTAAATCGACTCTAAAGAAGACGGAATTAGTTTGTTTATCTTCTGGCTCCACCCTAATATACCTGTTATTCTATAACATCAATTTACACAACACTTCTCGTTTTCAATCTGGGTGCTAAACACCCATTAATAATTCAAAATAATTCAAACACCCTTGGAATTCATGCAAATAAATTTTAAAAAATAAAAAAAAAATTCAACAACAACAGAAATTCCAACAATCATCATTGAAAAGGCAGTGTGACCATGATAATCAAATAACAACCATATTAATGGTTGATAAAGCAGACACCGATCAAAAGGACCAACAGACAGCTAGCTAGCCAGCCAACAAACAAGCGACCAATGACTGCACTAACATTGACCCCTTAAAAGCCAACACAGACAGTGTAAACACTTGGCCAACAGCAGCAACAACAACAAAAACATAAAATAATGTTTAAAACCCCAAAACAAAATAAACCTTTCAAAAAAACATATGCAGAAAACAAAAAAGGGTGTTTAAAAATTGTAATAAAATTTTAGTTTCTAAAACTCATCATCGTCATTATTTGTTTGACAAAATGTCTTCCATTTGTCGATAGATATCAAAATTTTTTTGCTAAACTTCGTCGTCCCTTAAGTGTTCTTGTTGTACAATGAAGTTTCATCTTGAACACTGCCATTAGTGTACGTACGGTTTGTTAATTGATTTCTCCCGAAGCTTGAGATTGAAACTTTGTAATGAAAATAAACATGGCCGCTTTTAATTGTTTATAAAATTTTCTTTTTGTTGCTTATTGTATGAGGGAGTAGCATTTAGGTTTAGTGGGTGGGTGTGTGTGGAAGCATTTGCTGCGTTAGGGAAGCTGACAAGAGCAAGCGGAATTGTGTTTAGTTGAGTTGATAATGTTGTGGGGATTATTGAAATTTTGTTTTTAAAATAAATTCAATTAAACAGCCTTAAGATATGCTGTAAAAAATGTTAATTAAAAATTCGCCTAAATGATAGACTTTAGAAAATTTTATAAATATATTTTATTTAAAAATTTAAGTAGATTACTAAGTATAAGATACTTGAAGTTTCTAGACATGAAAGTGAAAAATATATGTTTCAAGGAGAATCTCTTGAAGTAGTCTTCCACTATACTTTTTAAATTATTAAACTAAAGTATGTATTCCTTTATGTCTTTTTAGGCTTTCCCACAGTTGTGGCACGCAATTCCACTCCAGTAGCCTATCCTGGTTCTCCTTTACATTTGTCGGTAGAATTTTGTGCCAATCCTCCGGCCCATGCCGCCAGATGGCTGCACGGTGATCGTGTCTATACCCCCGGCAATCAATATGGCAGCACTGTCTTGGCCTATGGCGTAACGGTAAGTTATTTGCAACAAAACTCTTTACTAAAACGGAAATTTATTAATTTTGCCTTTCCCAACTCTTTCTAGGACTTACCCACCCCCTTTTGTAAAGAAGCCCGCCTTACTTATGTCAGCATGCATGAACGTGTGCCACGTACTTTCTACTTCATAGTCTCCTCACCGGGTGGTGTGGCCGAAACGATTATAAAAGTTAATTTCACCATGCGTTATCGTTCCATATCGAATGCCATCGATGAGGAGGAAGAAGAACTAAGTGAACCCGAAGAAATACATTTTCCTGTTTTTGGCAAGGCCTCTCTACCAGTTATAAATTGTTGGCTTTTAGCCATAATATGGTTTAGTTATAAATTTTAGAAAATTATTATAAAACTTTAAACTAAAAGAGATGTCATCTTTCAAACCCCCCAAAAAAGGCCTGTAAAATATTTGATTTAAGTTTTTGTTTTAATTTCAGTTTTAAGCCATAAAGCTAAAATCTAAACTCGTATTGCAAATAAAGAAAAATTTTAGATTTAATAACAAATATATAAGCAACCCCCCCAAAAAATAACTGTGTCTATTATTAACTAACTTAAAAACTAAACAAAAATTTAAAAAAAAAAACCTTTAAAACTTTAAATGTTAGTTATTATCTGTTTTAAGTTCTTAAGCCTAAAATTAGGCTTTAGTTTTTTTTTGTCTTAAAATTAAACATTATAAAATAATGTTTATTTAAGAAAAACTTAATTTTTGTATAAAATATTCTTGCCAAAAATTTAAAAAAATTATAAAAAATAAAAAAAATTACTTTAAGCCCGCCAAATATTTTTTAAAATACATTTAATATAAAATTTAAAAAAAAACACAATTTTAGTTCCTCTTTTTCGATAAGTAAAATATTTTAATTGTAAAAATTTCTTAAGTCTCTTAGATAATAACTTATCCGGGAGTATTTTTACTTTATTTGAAAAGTTAAATTATGTTATAAGATTTTTACTTTATTTTAGTAATGAGTAAAATAATCAAAAAATGACTGATTTTTGTTAATAACAAAAAAGTTTTTTTGTAAAAATTATAAAAAGAAAACATCAAGCAAAAAATATTTATTTAAAAGTCAAATCACACGAAATATAAGAAATATTAAAAGTAAAACAAAAAGATAAAAGTTTTTAATCATTTGTATACATTTAAACAAATTCCTTCCATTTCATTAAATAAATTATTTAAACCAAACAAATAATATATATTTATTACAAAACAAAAAACAAAAATAATAAGTTAAAATTGTTATTATAAAAAAATTATTGTAAAAGCCAAACCAAAAAAAATACCAAAAATGTTATAAATATTTGAAAAAAAAAAAAATAAAAATTGTAAAATATTATTTGAAAATGAAACACAAAATTTAATTATTTTTTTTAAATTAGTTTTGTAGTTCAAAGTTCACCATTAATTATAACAAGGTTTTCTTAGAAAAACAGTTTTTTCTGTAGAATTATGTTCAGTTCTAGTTCAGTTCTAGTTCAGTTCTAGTTCAGTTCTAGTTCAGTTCTAGTTCAGTTCTAGTTCAGTTCTAGTTCAGTTCTAGTTCAGTTCTAGTTCAGTTCTTGTTCAGTTCTAGTTCAGTTCTAGTTCAGTTCTAGTTCATTCTAGTTCAGTTCTAGTTCAGTTCTAGTTCAGGTTCTAGTTCAGGTTCTAGTTCAGTTCTAGTTCAGTTCTAGTTCAGTTCTAGTTCAGTTCTAGTTCAGTTCTAGTTCAGTTCTAGTTCAGTTCTAGTTCAGTTCTAGTTCAGTTCTAGTTCAGTTCTAGTTCAGTTCTAGTTCAGTTCTGTTCAGTTCTAGTTCAGTTTCTAGTTCAGTTCTAGTTCAGTTCTAGTTCAGTTCTAGTTTTCAGTTCTAGTTCAGTTCTAGTTCAGTTCTAGTTCAGTTCTAGTTCAGTTCTAGTTCAGTTCTAGTTCAGTTCTAGTTCAGTTCTAGTTCAGTTCTAGTTCAGTTCTAGTTCAGTTCTAGTCAGTTCTAGTTCAGTTCTAGTTCAGTTCTAGTTCAGTTCTAGTTCAGTTCTAGTTCAGTTCTAGTTCAGTTCTAGTTCAGTTCTAGTTAGTTCTAGTTCAGTTCTAGTTCAGTTCTAGTTCAGTTCTAGTTCATTCTAGTTCAGTTCTAGTTCAGTTCTAGTTCAGTTCTAGTTCAGTTCTAGTTCAGTTCTAGTTCAGTTCTAGTTCAGTTAGTTCAGTTCTAGTTCAGTTCTAGTTCAGTTCTAGTTCAGTTCTAGTCAGTTCTAGTTCAGTTCTAGTTCAGTTCTAGTTCAGTTCTAGTTCAGTTCTAGTTCAGTTCTAGTTCAGTTTCTAGTTCAGTTCTAGTTCAGTTCTAGTTCAGCTAGTTCTAGTTCAGTTCTAGTTCAGTTCTAGTTCAGTTCTAGTTCAGTTCTAGTTCAGTTCAGTTCAGTTCTAGTTCAGTTCTAGTTCAGTTCTAGTTCAGTTCTAGTTCAGTTCTAGTTCAGTTCTAGTTCAGTTCTAGTTCAGTTCTAGTTCAGTTCTAGTTAGTTCTAGTCAGTTCTAGTTCAGTTCTAGTTCAGTTCTAGTTCAGTTCTAGTTCAGTTCTAGTTCAGTTCTAGTTCAGTTCTAGTTCAGTTCTAGTTCAGTTCTAGTTCAGTTCTAGTTCAGTTCTAGTTCAGTTCTAGTTCAGTTCTAGTTCAGTTCTAGTTCAGTTCTAGTTCAGTTCTAGTTCAGTTCTAGTTCAGTTCTAGTTCAGTTCTAGTTCAGTTCTAGTTCAGTTCTAGTTCAGTTCTAGTTCAGTTCTAGTTCAGTTCTAGTTCAGTTCTAGTTCAGTTCTAGTTCAGTTCTAGTTCAGTTCTAGTTCAGTTCTAGTTCAGTTCTAGTTCAGTTCTAGTTCAGTTCTAGTTCAGTTCTAGTTCAGTTCTAGTTCAGTTCTAGTTCAGTTCTAGTTCAGTTCTAGTTCAGTTCTAGTTCAGTTCTAGTTCAGTTCTAGTTCAGTTCTAGTTCAGTTCTAGTTCAGTTCTAGTTCAGTTCTAGTTCAGTTCTAGTTCAGTTCTAGTTCAGTTCTAGTTCAGTTCTAGTTCTAGTTCAGTTTAGTTCAGTTTAGTTCTAGTTCAGTTCTAGTTCAGTTCTAGTTCAGTTCTAGTTAGTTCAGTTCTAGTTCAGTTCTAGTTCAGTTCTAGTTCAGTTCTAGTTCAGTTCTAGTTCAGTTCTAGTTCAGTTCTAGTTCAGTTCTAGTTCGTTTAGTTTAGTTCAGTTCTAGTTCAGTTATAGTTCTAGTTCAGTTCTAGTCAGTCTAGTTCAGTTCTAGTTCAGTTCTAGTTCAGTTCTAGTTCAGTTCTAGTTCAGTTCTAGTTCAGTTCTAGTTCAGTTCTAGTTCAGTTCTAGTTCAGTTCTATCTCTAGTTCAGTTCTAGTTCAGTTCTAGTTCAGTTCTAGTTCAGTTCTAATTCAACTCTAGTTCAGTACTAAGTCAGTTTAAGTTATTTTCGCGAATATTGAAACAATTCCTATGAAATTCTAAAATATTGAGAGGATTCTCATGATTTCTGATTTCAAACTGGAAATTTTATATAAATTATTTTTAATTGCAAGAAGGTTCAACTTACCTTACCGCTGAAAGTTAGTGGCCAATAACGTTGGAATCTGAAAAATTATAATAAAATATTTGTTTAATAAAGATGTTCGGAATGTTTTAAATATAGTTTTTCTGAGACACCGCAATTTTGAACTACTAATAAATTGGAAATCTATAAACGTCCCTTTAACATATGCTATATAATTTGTAAATTATTTGAAAAGCCAAAAGCGAACAAAACAAAAAACAAACCCTAAAAATATGCTCAATACATTTGATAAAATACAAATTAAAATACAAGTAGAAATTCTTTTAGGCATTAAAATGTATAAATGTTATTTGATAAACGATGGAAAACAGAAATATTAAAATAAACTCCAATTAGAAATTAGTTAAATAATCTATAGAAATAAATAAAAACAAAAAAGTATTACTTTATTAAACAAATAAAAACAACTGGCTAAATTACATAAACAAAAATTTTCAAGGCCAAACAACTATTGTAAAATATTTCATAAAATTATTAAGTAAAATTAAAAAAAAAAAAAAAACTAAAATTAAGAAGAATTTGTATAAATTTAAACAAATATATCAAGCTTTTGTATTAAAAAATCATTTCATACTAAAAAAATACTAAAATAAACAAAAAATGAGAATAAATTATTTATAATAAAAACGCCAATTTTAAGTTTATAAATACATAAAAAATAAACATAAATGAATTCAAAATTCAGATAAAAAATACTATAATTAAAAGAAAAATAAACAATTAAAATATTATTAATTATAAAAAGGAAAATTATATATTAAAATAATAATAAAAATGTTAATTTTAAGCAAAAATAATCAAGAAAGAAAACACGTCGTAATGTTAACTAAAAAACAAAAAAATATTATTTACAAAAAAATTAAAAAAAATAAACAACAAATTATATGTATATTACAAATAATGAGAAAGAAAAATTGGTATATTTAATTTATAACAAAAAAAAATACAAACAATTTGCAATAGTTTTCAAAGGAAACGCAGTTTAAACAATTGATGACAACAGTCCTGGCTATTAAAACCTTAAATTACCACCCGATTTAAATTGTTATTAAACATCCAACAAAATAATTTCTAAGGCAATCTAATCTATAACAAACTCCCTCCTTAACACCCCTTTCTCCCTCTCCCAAAAAATAAGCAATTGTTAGTTTCAAAACCCAAGGAAATAAAAAAATTCAATGGCATTATAAAACCCGAAAAAACAACAAATATTTAATAATAAAAAATGCATTACAAAAAAACAACTGAAAACAAAAACAACAAATAGCCAATTTAGTATATAACAAAAACAACAAAATTGAAAAGAAAAACAAAAATTTGAATGAACAAAAATAAAATTTAAAAAAAAATAATAAAAATCTAAAGGGTGTTTTATTGCGAATTGTTTAAAAGATTTAATACTCATAATAGAGTGCAATAATAAGAGGTGAGTAATATACATTTTATTGCATACTTTTAGTTGCTGTAAATTGCTTAGACGTTTATTTATATCACTGCCATAAAAAGGGTTGCTGAAGTTCAGTTCTAGTTCTAGTTCAGTGCCAGTTCTAATTCAGTTCTAGTTCAGTTTTAGTTCAGTTCTAGTTCAGTTCTAGTTCAGTTCTAGTTCAGTTCTAGTTCAGTTCTAGTTCAGTTCTAGTTCAGTTCTAGTTCAGTTCTAGTTCAGTTCTAGTTCAGTTCTAGTTCAGTTCTAGTTCAGTTCTAGTTCAGTTCTAGTTCAGTTCTAGTTCGGTTCTAGTTCAGTTCTAGTTCAGTTCTAGTTCAGTTCTAGTTCAGTTCTAGTTCAGTTCTAGTTCAGTTCTAGTTCAGTTCTAGTTCAGTTCTAGTTCAGTTCTAGTTCAGTTCTAGTTCAGTTCTAGTTCAGTTCTAGTTCAGTTCTAGTTCAGTTCTAGTTCAGTTCTAGTTCAGTTCTAGTTCAGTTCTAGTTCAGTTCTAGTTCAGTTCTAGTTCAGTTCTAGTTCAGTTCTAGTTCAGTTCTAGTTCAGTTCTAGTTCAGTTCTAGTTCAGTTCTAGTTCAGTTCTAGTTCAGTTCTAGTTCAGTTCTAGTTCAGTTCTAGTTCAGTTCTAGTTCAGTTCTAGTTCAGTTCTAGTTCAGTTCTAGTTCAGTTCTAGTTCAGTTCTAGTTCAGTTCTAGTTCAGTTCTAGTTCA